GATGAGGATGAGGATGAGGATGAGGACGAGGATGATGATGATGATGATGATGATGATGATGATGATGATGATGATGAGGAGGAGGAGGAGGAGAAGGAGAAGGAGGAGGAGGAGGAGGAGGAGAAGGGATAGGAGGATAATGGATAGGAGGAGGAAGAGGAGAAGGAGGGGGAGGAGGAGAGGAGGAGGAGGAGGAGGGAGGAGGAGGAGGAGGGGGGAGGAGGAGGAGAAGGAAAGTGAGAAGGAGAAGGAAAAGGAGGAGGATTTTTTAACGCCCAACTGCTGCTTGACCCCCCTGCAAGGGGACCGTCTGAAGCCCACAGGCGCAAATCCTGCGGGCCACCCGACGGGGCACGTGCGCCCGTGGCCAGGACCAGGAGGAGCACGTGCTCCGCGAACGGCGCGCGAGACAAGGCACGCAAGGAGGCCGTGCTCCGCGTGCCCTGCTCGGGGTAGGGGGCGCCGGAAGCCGTGCTCCGGCGCCCAGCCTACCCACCGCCCACTCCGTGGGTGGCCGCGGCGACGAGGAACAATTTTCTCTCCCCTTGGCTCCCTACGGGCAAACAAAGGTGACGATCGGGCTGTTGCCCGCCTGTTTTTCTGGGAAGGGGTCCCAGTGGCACCGGTGCCAGGAGGAGGAGGAGGAGGAGGAGGAGGAGGAGGAGGAGGAGGAGGAGGAGGAGGAGGAGGAAAAGGAGGAGGAGGAGGAGGAGGAGAGGAGGAGGAGAGCGATGACGAGGAAGAGGAGGATGAGGAGGAGGAGAAGGAAAAGAGGAGGCGGAGGAGGAGGAGGAGGAGGAGGAGGAGAAGGAGGAGGAGGAGGAGGAGGAGGAGGAGGAGGAGGAAGAGGAGGAGGAGGAGGAGGAGGAGGACAAGGAGGAAGAGGGGGAAGGAGGAGGAGGAGGAGGAGGAGGAGGAGGAGAAGGAGGAGGATGGATACGAGGAGGAGAGGAAGGAGGAGGAGGAGGAGGAGGAGGAGAAACTGGGAGAAGGAGGGAAAGGAACAGGAGGAAGACAATGATGTTGTTACTGATGGTGATGGGGACGATGATGATGACGATGATGATGATGCTGATGATGATAATGCTGGTGATGATGAGGAGGATGGTGATGATGAGGATGAGGTTTATGCTGCTGATGAGGATGAGGAACTATGAGAAAGATACTTATGATGATGTTGATGATGATGCTGATAATGTTGATGACGAACAGGAGGCGGAGGACGACGAGGAGGGGGACGATGAGAAGGAACAGGACGAGGAGGAGGAGGAGGAGGACGATGAGGGGGACGAGGACGAGAAAACGAACACGAGGACGAGGGCGAGGACGAGGCCGAAAACGATGATGATGAGGAGGAAAAGGACCAGGAGGAGGACCAGTGGAAACCCAAGAGTATCGACGATGCTGGGAATAACCCTCCCTCCAAGCTCCCTCTTCATAGGCCCCTTACAACGGTTCACTTCCACTGAGGGAACTGCCTCGCTGGAGGGCAACAGTTTGAAGATCCTGAAACGTGCCAAAACACTGTTCTCGGGATGTCAACTCAACGCCACGTATCAACCTGACAGCTGCGCCTTGACGCTCCATAACCGCGCCAGAACGCTTTTTTGGGACTTCTACACAGCGAATCAACATAACTGTTGCGCCCGCATAATCCTGAATCCTTCCAACACACCATTTATTGTGCGTTGACCATGGGAATCCGTGAAAGTCTGGCTATTGTTTATATATACAAAAAAACGAACAAGATTTTAAGGCTCGCTTCGCTTCGCCTTTTAATATTGTTCGTGGGCCCTGGCGTCGCGCTACGCTGAGAAATCGCGTTGCTTCTGGGGCCTGGGGGGCACGGGCGGATGCGTCGGGCAGGGTGCGCGAGTATCGGGCCGCGTATTGCAAATGAGCAATATAGCGGTAGTGCTTATTTGGGAAAAGGACGGACCGGTTCCTCACGCTGTCTGTTCCTCCTGTCACTCCTCCCTGCCCAGGGTCCCTGGCTTTTCTTCCGAATCGCGCGGGTGCTCTCTGGGGTGTCGGGGCGGGCATGCCGAATGCAAGCCGCCCGATCTCTCTAAGATGGCCATCGTCGGGGAATGGGCGCGTGGAAGGGCAGGAGGGGTAGGGAGGGGAGCAATCAGGAGGAGGAGAGAGGGGAGCAGGGGCTCGAGGGAGCAGGAGACGTGGGCAGGGTAAGGATTGGAAGAGGCGGATGTGGGAAGGTGATAAATAGGGGACATGGCGCGGGGGGGGGGGCGTCTCTTGGGCTGTCTTGGCGCCTCTGGGGCCGTCTTGGAGCCATTATGGGGCCGTCTTAGGGCACTCTTGGGCACTCATGGGCCTGTTTTTGGGCGCCTCCTGGTTCATTTCGTGGCCATCTTGGGCAATATTGGGGCGGTCTTGGACCACCTGGAGCACCCCAGAAAGCCCGCTGGGCCTTCTTGGCCGGCCTTGGCGGCGTTGTGGGCGGCTTGGGGCCCCGGGGAACCGAAAAGGATGAAACGCTCACATCTGCTGAAAACCAACGGAAAACAATACATGTCGCTCCTTGGGATCCTCTTGGGTCTGCTCTTGGAGGCCTCTTGCAGGGTCCGTGGGTGCCATCTTGGGCCTCCGGGAATGATATTGTGGTATATTGGGCGTTGTGGAGCTGTGTTGCCCGGCCTTCAGGGGCGCCGGTGGCTGGGGAGGACGCTATGAGGAAGCCATCGCGGGCGTCCAGTGGCTCTCTGGGGCCGTTCTGGCCATGTGCGCGCGTTAGAAAGAAGTAGTGCAAGGGAGTTGTTTATTTTGAAAACCGCGCGTGGCGGCGCGGTCGGCGCGGTGCGCAAGGTGTCGCGGATGGTGGTGCCGGGCTTGCACTCGCTGGTCGGGACGATGGTCGGGCACTTCGCCGCGAGCTCGCGGAGGCCCTTGAGCGCGGCCGCGGGGGCGTGGTCGGCGATCGCAATGCGCAGGTTGCCGAGCTCCTTGATGGCGCAGGGCTCGTGGTTTAGTTTCGTGAAAGAGCGCGCGTGCGCGACGCGGTTCGCCGGGGCGCGGGGCTCCACCTGGAACGCTCCGCGGCGATCGGCGGCGGGCGCGGAGAAGTTCACCTCGAGCAGGGCTTGCTGCAGGATGGAGCTCAGGCCGTCGCAGACGCACTTCGTGGCCTGCTTGCCATTCGCCGTAAGCCACGAGGACCCATGCCCAGCTGACCTCTCCGCAGGGATTCTTGCTGGCGGTCGGGCCCAGCAGGCTGCGCACCCCGACTGGCGCGCCACTCGGCGCCTGCGGCAAGGTCATCAGCGCGACGGCGTCCTTCTGGAAGCAGGTGGGGCCGTGGCGGCCTGCGCGGCCTTGGCGTAGGCTGGGGGCGTCCGCCACCGTGGCACGGGCGCCGTTGGCGCGGCTGCCGTTGGCGTCTATCCTCTCGAGGAAGACGTGGGTGGTGTACGCGCTGGCCCCTTGCTGGGATGGGAGGGCCTGCGCTGGCCTGGGAGTTTGCTGCGTCGGCGCAAACGTAGCGCTCGCGGCCTTGGGCGGCATCGCAGAAAAGGCGCTGGGCGGTCAGATGGGCGCGCTTGAGCCAGATTCCTATGCTAGGAGGCCTCTGTTGTGGTATTTGGCACGGCTGCTTTGAAAAAGAGCAAGGCTGAAACCTTGCTCTTTTAGAATAGAAATGTGGGGCAACATACATAGCGGGCGATGTTCCGCGACATAAGGTCAGCAGCGTTCTGCGTTCGGCTTTGTTTCCCCAGGGCTCGTCTGGCGGGCGTCAGGCCCCGCCGAGACGCGCGGCGCCGACGTCTCCCAACGCAAGCTTCCGCACGACCTCGCCCACGGAGGCGCGCAGGTGCAGCTTGTTGGACCCAATGAAAAACGTCTGGAGGCTGTGCGCGAAGATGCAGAGCGCTGCCTGCATCTCCCCGCTGGCCAGGGGCGGCGCGCCGGGGCAGTGGGTCTGCAGGAGCGCCTCGACCCGGGCGTGCGTCTGGGGCGCCGGGTCGGCGACGGCGGCCGCCTGCGGCGCCTCGGGGCAGAGCCAGCGGCAGGCAAGGGCTCCGTTGGTGCCCGCCCGCCGAGTCGGAGGTCGTCGCGTACCCACAATGGGAGAGGCAGAGCGCCATGTGCGTGGCGTTGAGGTCCCCGTAGCCAACTTTCAGGTCGCTCAGGAGCGGGGCCCTCTTCGATGGAGAAGCCGCCAGGAAGGGCGCAGCCGTGTCAAAGTCCTTCTGGTGGAAGACTCTGCAGCACGCCGGGAGGGTCGGCAGGTCGACCTCCAGCGTGGGCGCCTTCCCGCTCTTCTGGCCGAAATTCGCCTTGGTGGTGCAGCTCGGGTAGAGAGAGCGCTGCGCGTCTGGTCCCAGCTTGGCTGTCCACTCCGCGCACCACGACCCGAGAGTGATGTAGTCGTAGATGTACCGGGGAGGGCATGTCTCCAAGGTAAAATCCAGCAGGTCGTACTGGCGGCACAGGGAGAGGCACGACAGGGTGGTCAGGCCTTTGCGATAAGGTGCATTTAAGGAAGGGTGGCGTCCAGACGGCCACCGAGGCGGCGGCGGGGGGGAGGGGGGGCCTCCAGGCAGGGCGGATCACAACGCACCAAAAGAAAGCTAAACCAAAACTTGTGGGTCAGTTTTGTGATAAGAGGGATGGTGTTCTCAAATGCCTTATCGCATTATGCCCCCTCCAGTCTTTCAGCTCGCCGTCGGCGGGGTCCGCCTTCGCCGCCGCCATGGACGTGGCAGCCCGCTGGCACCACAGGTCCTCGGACTTGTAGATGCCCAGGGCGTGCGTGACCTCCTGGGTGTCCTTGGTCGTCCAGTCCTCGCCAAAGCGTGGGTTGCAGGCGTCCCAGACCTCGGTGATCCACTGGGACTGCGGGCCTGCCGTTCTGGCCGGGCTCCGTCGTGCCAGGAAGGCGAGGAAGCCAGCTTCGAGGGCAGAGACGTCGGGAAGAGCAATGTGCCGGCAGCACGCTCGCAACGCCGCTGGCGTTTTGCCGTTCTTCCCAGTGGCCTCCAGGATGGCCCTGCATTGGACAGCCACGGCATGTCGGCCGCCTTCGTTCTCGTACTGAGCGAAGCGCTCAGCAGTCAGCGGGCGGGTCGTTCGGACGTGGCGCACTGTGCTGGGTCCTCGGAAATGTGCGCCTGTCTGCTTCCGCTTCATGGAAGCCATGGCGCGTGCGAATTAAGCCACCGCGATCCCCAACCTATTTTATGTAAGAGATGCGGCGTAACAACAGCAATTCCTGCTGCTCGAACCGAGCTGCGGACAGCGAGGAGGCGGAAGAAACGATTCGTTCTACTGTGCATTCGCAGGGAGCCTTTGAGGAACAGACCACGATGCATTCAAAACAACATAATAGGTGATGAGGAACAATCGGAGGAGGATTTAAGGGATGAGGAAGAATCGGAGGCGGAGGCAGAAGAGGAGGAGGTAGAGGAGGAGCAGTAGGAGGGGGAGGAGGAGGAGGAGGAGGAGGAGGAGGAGGAGGAGGAGGAGGAGGAGGTGGAGGAGCAGGGAGCGGAGGGGGAGGAGGAGAAGGAGGAGGAGGAGGAGGAGCAGCAGGAGGAGGAGGCGTAGCAGGAGGAGAAGCAGGATGAGGAGCAGGATGACGAGGAGGAGGAGGAAGAGGAGAAGGAGAAGGAATGGGAGCAGGATCGCAAGGGGCAGGAGGAGGAAGAGGAGGAGGTGCCCAGACCTCCAGTGTTGGAACGACTTCTGCCTCAAACGTGGGCGCACTTCAGATCTCGGAAACGGCTTGGGCCTTGGGCGCGTGGCCACCTTCGCCTACGACTTCCTGCAACTATCGCCAGAGACATCCTTCGAACAAATCGGAGGAGGAGGCGGAGGAGGAGGAGGAGGAGGAGGAAGAGGTGCAAGAGCAGCAGCAGGAGCAGGATCAGGAACAGGAGTCGGATGCGAGAGAAGGGAGGGGAAACATGAGGAGAAGCAGGAGGAGCGGCAGCAGCAACACCACCAGGAGCAAAAGCAAAGCAGGATGAGGAGGAAGAGAAGCAACATCAAGAACAGGACCATGAGCCGGGCGCGAGAGAGCGTGAGGGGAAGAGGTGGAGGAAACGGAGGAAAAGGAGGCGGAGGAGGAGGAGGAGGAGGAGGTACTGGCTTTGCCCCTGAAAATGCGGCCTGATATGTCCTGCAACTGTGGGTGCCGAAATGGCCAGAGTTGGGGTATTGAGGCCACGCTCCTTTGAGATATCCTCGGAGCCGGCGGTTGCGAGCTGACCTGAACTGAGTTGGTGAGGTCACTTTCGCCAGAGACATCCTTCGATCATACGGCTCGAATCTGAGCGGTCCGAAAGCGGTGCGGCACGAGAGAGCGCGAGGGGAGGAGGAGGAGGAAACGGAGGAAAAGGCGGAGGAGGAGGAGGAGGAGGAGCAGGAGGATCAGCAGCATCAGTAGCAGCAGCAGCAGCAGGTGGAGGACGAGGAGCAGGATGACGACGAGGAGGAAGAGGAAGGAAGAGGAGCAGGATGACGAGGAGCAGGAGGAAAAGAAGCAGGAGAAGCAGGAGGAGGAGGAGGAGGAGGAGGAGGTGCCCCTGTCAGTTAAGCTATTCTCAGAACTCGCGGCTCCGAGATGACCTGATCTGAGCTGGTCAAGCGCGAATGGATGAGGAGGAGGAGGAAACGGAAGAAGAGGAGGCGGAGGAGGAGGAGCAGGAGGAGGGGGAGGAGGACGAGGTGGAGGAGGAGGAGAAGCAACAGGAGGTGGAGGACGAGGAGCAGGATGACAAGGAGGACGAAGAGGAAGAGGAAGGGACAGGATGACGAGGAGCAGGAGGAAGAGACGCAGGAGGAGAAGCAGGAGGAGGAGGAGGAGGATGAGGATGAGGAGGAGGAGGAGGGGGAGGTGGCCACTGTCATTTGAGCTATTATCAGAACTCGCGGCTCCGAGATGACATGATCTGAGCTGGTCAGGTAACTTCGCCAGAGACATCCTTTGAATGAAAAAGAGGAGGACGAGGAGGACGAGTAGGAGGAGGAGGAGGAGGAGGAGGAGGAGGAGGAGGATGAGGAGGAGGAGGAGGAGGAGGAGGTGGAAAAGGAGGAGGTAGTGGAGGAGGAGGAGGAGGAGGAGGAGGAGGAGGAGCAAGAGCACCATCAGGAGCAGGAGGTGAGCAGGAGCAGGAGTCACATGCGGGAGAAGGGAGGAGGACCAGGAGGACGAGGAGGAGGAGGAGGAGGAGGAGGAGGAGCAGGAAAAGGAGGACGAGGAGGAGCAGCAGGAGTAGCAGGCGAGGACGAGGAGGAGCAGCACCAGGAGGACGAGGAGGAGAATGGCGAGGAGGAGCAGAATAACGAGTAGGAGGAGAAGAAACAACATCTGGAGGAGGAAGAAGGTGCGGGAGAGCAGGAGGAGCAGGACGAGGAGGAAAAGGAGCAGGAGATGGAGGAGCTGAATGTCGAGGAGGAGCAGGACGAGGAGGAGGAGGAGGAGCAGGAGGAGGAGGAGCAGGAGCAGCAGGAGGAGGAGGAGGCAGAGGGCGCGGGAAAGCTGGAGGAGGAAGAGGGCGCGGGAGAGCTGGAGTAGGAGGAGCAGGAGGAGAAGGAGGAGGAGGAGGAGGGCGTGCCCTGACTCAGCTGTGTAAGCAAATGGTGCGTATGACATGGTCGCGCATCCGATTTGAGCATTGGCTTGGCCCCTGGAAATGTGGGCCGAAATGGCCAGAGTTGGGGTGTCGAGGCCACGTTCCTTTGAGATATTCTCGGAACTGGCGGTGGCGAGATGACCTGAGAGTGGCGGGGGTCGAAGGCTACGGAGACACACGACATGCAATGATGGGAGGGATTGGGTCAATGAGGGTGGCGGAAAGGGAAGGCAGCGGAAACGAACGAAGTGCAACTATGGGAGGGAAATGTGACCCGCACGGGTGGGCTATTAAAAGGCGCAGAAATGCCGCTCTGCTTCTTTAGAATAGCACCCTTGGAGCCGGCATCTTTCGGGTCTCCCTTTTGCCGGTACACGGTGAGAAACCGAAAACAAGAAAAAGGCGCCCCACGACGAAGACGCACGCACGCTGGCCTGAACTATGGTTTGGCGACAGGCTCGCGGCACCACCGGCGGGATCTGGCGGAAGTCGCCGTAGCAGATGATCGTCTTAGGGACATAGTCCACGGCGCAATGAGCCTGCTGTGCGCGTGGCAAGCCGAGGACGGCCTCCCAGGCGGGTTTCTTGACAGACGGCGACTCGTCCTGCTGGATGACCGCAGCCTGTGCCAGACGCAAGGCTGTAGCCGAACGCAACCCGAGCGTGCAGGTGAGGTCGTCCTCTTCAGTCAGCGGAATACCGAAGGTCGAATGAGCGGTACCTCCGTCGGGTAACTCCAGCGCGGCCTGCCCGGTCGCGGCGACGTTGACGACAGTGCGCCCTGTCGCGAATGCTGCTTCGTTGGTGATGTGTCGCGCCAACGTGGACTTGCCAGTGCCAGCTCGGCCCCCGACAAAGATGAACGACTCGCCGTTCTACTTCCAACGCTGGACCACGTGGTTGACGACCGCCTGCTTGTCGGGATCCGCGTGGATCAGGTCGGCGGCAAGTCGCTGCTGGTGCGGCGGCAGTAGGGCGGGTTCCGCGGCTGGGGTGCCATCGGGGACGTCGAGTTTCCAGGCGTCCGCCGCGTTGCCGTTGAGGATCCAAGTCGCGTGCAACGCGCGCAAGAGCTCTTGTCGCGCAGTCTTCAACGACAGGCCTCGGTTGAGGAAGTCTTTCATCAGTTGCAACTCGTATTTCTTGCGCTGGGTGATTGGAGCCGCTTCTCGCTCCAGAAGCACGACGAAGGCGAAGCGGAGCTGCGCGGCAGTGTAGTTGAGGTCGACCAATTCGTCGAACACGGCGTGGGCTTCGTCAGACCTCGCAACATGTCCCGTTGCGAACATGGCCTCCTCGTGGGACGGGTAGTTCCTGCCGTTGTGCCGTCGGCAATCGGAGAAGCTTGTTCTCGGGTAGTTGAGCAGCATGTGGCGCATGTAGAAGACCTCCTTCTGCCTGGGGCATTTCATTTCGAGGCGGCACAGGTGGCGCCTCAACGCGCTGACGCGGGTGCACGAAGCATGTCTGGCTGGCGGGGCCTTGGTCCACGGCGATGTTGGGGGGGCAGGCGCCGGCGTCGGCAGCGGCGCGCCCAGGGAAAAGGGCGGGGGAGTACACTCTCAACGGGACGGGGCAGCGGGCAGAGACCATGTAGTTCTCAAAGTATTCGTGGTACTTGAGGCTGGCGAAGCACTCTGAGGGCGGGCGGAAAAAATACCGTTGTAGAGCGGAGGCGCGGGATTGCACCACCGCGATCTCGGCACCTTCTTCGTGCTGCACCCAGTCCTCGCCTTCCAGGTGCACGGGGAGGCATCTACATGAGGCCGCCGATCGTACGTGTGATAGCCAAAGATACGCCGGGCGCGTTCGGTAACGCACAGGTAGCGCCCGCGGGCCAGTCTTTCAGCTCGTCTTGCGCTGAAGGATCCATCGTGACGTCCTAGTTCGCTTTGTCGGGGCCTTTGAAGAGGCACTTGTATGAGTACTCGAACAGCTCGACAGTGCCTGCGAATTTGACGTTGGCGTGGCCGCCCCGGCGGTTCAAAATGGCGGGGTTCTACTCGACGATGTTCGGTTGCAGCACAGCGCCCTGCGGCCGCGCATGGCCCCGCCCCCCAAACAGTTCGGGCAGTGGCCGCCGCAAGGACGACGTCGGTGTATGGGGTAGCCCCTGAGCTCGATCTGCGTGAACACGGAAGACGGCCACGGGCAACCTTTGATGCAATCCTGCGCTGGGTCTCGAGGGCGGCAGAAGTGATCGCAGCTGTGAGTCATGTGTCTGAGTGCCAGAGCCGGGGGCTGGTGGACGTCATCGCGATGTAGTTCACGGGACACGTATTGATCGACCTCGTCTGCACTCCAACTGGCGTGGTCGACGCAGAGAACGACGTGGACGTGCGGCAAACCTCGCCTCTGGTACTCGACGACTTTGACCATGTACTTGCGGCGGCCGCAGAAGTGGTCTTTCAAGTACGCCACCATCTTCGCCAGACGGCCATGGAAGACGCGCGCAGTGATATCTGGCCTGTCGGCGGGCGTCTGCCCCGGGTACAGCGCGGTTTGGATCTCGGCCCAATCAGGGTTGCACGTCAAAGTAATTAAAAAAGAAGGCGGATCCACATTGCCATCGACAAGGTCAGCCCAAACATCTCCGAACATTAACAGTTAGCGGGACATCCCGCTTGGAAACCGACGACAACCGTAAGATGTCTCCGGGGTGTAACATACTTCCCTGGCTCCGGCACCCGTGCAAGGCCCCAAACACAACCCAAAAAACCTCCCTGTGCCGTCTTGGGGTTCGCTTGGGCCGTCTGGAAGCCCTCTGGGCCAGTTTGCGACCCGTGTCGGCTCCCCTTCTCGCTGTGGCGGGCCCTGAACAACCTCATTTTCCCACGGTTTGCAAGGAAGCTGTGGTGAACGATCCCGGGGAAAATCCAAGGGGTCGGCGGATGTGGCGGAAGCCTGAAGAATAATTAAAAAAGAAGGCGGATCCAAGCGGAGCGCAAGCTCCAGGGCGTCGGTTCGCAACTTCCGCAAGTGTCGCGGTGAACCTGGCGCGCTGGCTGGCAAGCAGTACTTCTTTCCGACGGTGGCCGTGCCAGCCGTCTCGTTGGTGACAAACTCGCAGAGGTCTTTCCTGGGGGCGATGCGTTTGTTCTGCATGTCCCAGACATGCGAGAAGCGTTCGTCCTCCATGCGGCAACACATGTTAATGAGCCACTCATTCAACAATCTGCCGCACATGTGCATGTGGTCGAACCTGAGCAGCTGCTGCTGGCACCATCTGTGTCACTTCAGTGCTCCAGCCGCGGCCTCCAGCTGGGAACCACAGAGGGTAGCTCAGCGGTTCATACAAAGGACCCAGAGGGTGCAAGTACTCAGGGTAGTCGTGGCAGACACGGCGAAAGGACACGGAGCGATAGTTGCGCTTGCGCGACGGGTCGAAATCAACGATGCCAGCGAATTCGTTGACGCCCTCGTGCCATTCCAAAGCAATTGCGCCGTCAATTGTGGGAGCCTTGGTTTTAGCCAATCTTTGAATGGTGCGCATGTGCGTGTTCTGCGGCGCGATGGCGCTCTAAGTTCGTGAGGATCTTCTTCGGCAAGCCGAGGTTTTTGGCAGCTGTCGTTCTCTCTTGCGGATCCACAATCAGGTACCGCAGCGGCACAGAATCGGCCGCGGAGGAAACCTTTCTGTACATGGTGCCATGGATGCGGATGTTGTTCGGCCGCATGACGCCGCCGAAACGAATTTCTTTGTCGGTGCGACTGCTTTGGATCTCATGTTGTGTCAAAGCAAACATGCTATTGAACAGGCGAGAGAATGCGCCGAATCCTGTCCGCAGTGTTAAGTTAGTGTGGGCGTCGCGCAAAACAATCCCAGCGTCGTCCTTCAACGGCCAGTGCTCGCGGAAGATAGCCTTGAGTGCATTGTCGGGCGCGGCGAAGAAGGCAGCAACATCTAATGCGAACTTGCCTCCGCCACAGCAGAACCTCGTGGTCTCCGTGTGGGATAGCTGTGCTCCGCAATGTGTTCAAACTTGGCCCATGTCGCCGAGGGAGAAGGAGTCGTTGCGCGGGCGTCCGTTGGGGTTGCGGCAGGTGTAACATGTAGCCCGAGCAGTGTGGCGACAGTCCACTGGACAAAAATGTCCACGGCAATGCGTTTCCACATTGTGCACACACGCCGGTGTGCTTTGCGCGGCTTGTCCCGCTGCGCTGGGAGGCAACAGCAACGCAAGCTTGGCACTTCCGTGTGGACCGCTTCAGTTGCTTGCTGGAGAAACCATATCGAGAGTGGTACTGCTGGCGAGCGATGCATTTGAGGGTACTCTGCTTGGGAGGCATGCCCCCGGGGAAATGGCTCGAACCTCATTGGCACGCGAATGAGGACTGAGCTGGAGGGTGAGAGTGGCAGTCCCGTTTGGGTGGGTATTGAAAAAGAGCAGACGTGAGAAAGTGCTTCTTTTGAATAGGGTGGGGGGCCCAGGACGGGGAGCAGAGAAACTATATGTAAGAAAAAGTGAAGGAGGGAAAAGGTCGGTGTGAGGAGTCTCGAATTCTGAGAAGCAAGAAGCACTCGGGGGCCTGTCAGGTATGGTCTGGATGCCCTCGGCGTTTCTGAGGACTGCTGGGGAAGCTCTCGTGGTCTTGTAGAGGTGCTGTGTCGTGCCTTTCTAAGATCTCGCTTCAGCCTCCTGCTGTGTGGCTGAGCATGGAGGACGTTCGCAAGAGAACTGTAGGAAATAGAATACCCGATGAGAGGACAGGAAGGGAAGGGGCAAGGAAACAGGATGAGGAAAAGGAAAGTGAGAAGCAAAAAGAGGCCGCGGGTGTTGCCTGAAGACTTTGAGGACGACATTGAGAACCGTGGGCAGCTTTGCAAAGAGGTCGGGGGGCCCGAAGTGCTCGGGGGGCCCGAAGTGCTAGAGGAATGAAGAATCCTGGAGCTTGGGCAGCACGCTCGGTGGCAGTATGCGTAGGTTTGGTGGGCAGGCCCCCAGAGAACGCCCTGGCCGTCGCAGAAGTGGTGGACGTGATAGGAGCCCGGGAGGAGATCCTGCCCCAAAGGGTCCTTTGGGGCGGCATTCCCGACGGAAGAGCGCCCTGTCTGTCATGCCGAAAGGATAAGGGGCTTCAAGTTGGAGCTCATGAGGACATGTATGTTGGGCCTGTACGGACATTGAAAGGTATTGGGGCCTTTGAGGGGGAGTGCGGGGTCTTAGGCGTCTTAGAGGACCTTACCGGTCTTGAGTTTTGCGGGTGCCGGTGGATCCGTCGCAGCTCTGTTGAGGCTCGCTCGGGAGTTTCTCGGCGCTTTGTGGTCGAAGAGGTCCTGTGTTTGCATATACTGGGGGTTGGGTAGGGTCGGCGTGCGTTGTGGACTACCTCTTGGGCCGTCTTGGGGCGAGGATCGGGTCTTCGTGGCGCATCCAAGACCGTCGGACCCTCAAGAAGCAATCTGGCCAGGGGTCTCGGAAGTTCCGTGGAGGCGCCTGTTGGGCCGTCTTGGTGTTATCTTAAACCGTTTTGGGCGGTTTTGCGGACTTCTCTGGGCCTGTTTGGGCGCCTCTTGGGCGATCTTGGCGCCTCTGGGGCCGTCGTGAGGCCATGTGGGGCCATCTCAGGGCACTCTTGGGCCCTCATGGTCGTTTTGGGCGGTTCCTGGGCGATGTCGTGGCCATTTTGGGCAGTATTGCAACAGTCTTGGTCCAGCCTGGAGCACTCCAGGAGGTTTGTTGGGCCTTTTTGGTCGTTCCTGGGGGCGCATTGGGCCGTCTTGGGGCGCTGGGGGACCGAAAAGGACGAAGCACCCACACCTGCTGAAAACGCAAGGGAAACACACAATTTCGCTCCTTGGGATCCTCTTGGGCGTGCTTTTGGAGGCCTCTCGCAGGGTCTGGGTGCCATGTGGGGCCTCTGGGACCGATCTTGTGGCATTTTGGGCTTCTAGTGCCCCTGGGAGCCGTGTTGCTCGGCCTTCGGGGACACCAGTGGCTGGGGAAGGACGCTTTCAGGGAGCCATTTTGGGCGTCCCCTGGCCCTCTGGGACCATTCTGGCCATGGTGACCCCCGTCCGGGGGGGGGTCCCATATGATATGAAGGATAGAGGAATGTGCGCGGCGCTAAGGCGAGAGCCACATTTTGAAAAGGAACCGACCGCAATCCTCGAAACCCTTGCATTAAAAGCAACGAATGCGCGCGGCGCTAAGGCGAGAGTCGCATTTTGAAAACCACCCGCCCTCAATCCGTGACAGTCTTGCAATTTGTTATACGAGTGTGACGCGGCGCTCGCGCGACAGCCACATTTTGAAAACCACTCGCCTTCACTCCGTGAAACTCTTGCAAATGTTTAAAACGAACATGCGCGGCGCGAAGGCGACAACCACATTTTGAAAACCACCCGCCCTCAATCCGTGAAGCTCTTGCAAATCTTGCAAACGAATGTGCGCAGCGCTAAACCGAGAGCCACATTTTGAAAACCACCCGCCTTCAATCCGCGAAACTCCTGCAATTTCTTGAGCGGATGTGCGCAGCGCTAAGGCGAGAGCCACAATTTGAAAACGACCCGCCCTCCATCTGTGAAACTGATGTCACTTTTTATGCTTCAGAGTCATCAGTGGTGAGGAAGTCTCAGGCGAAACGCCCGGCCCGCCCGAAAAACTGGCCTCGGGGTGCGACAAGGAGGATTTATCGATCAGGAGAAGGAATGGAGGAGGAGGGAGAGGAGGAGGAGGAGGAGGAGGAGGCGGAGGAGGAGGAGGAGGAGGCGGAGGAGGAGGAGGAGGATTAACAGGATTGCGCAACCAGACTCCATGGGCGCAGGGAAGCCAAAACACTGGGCAGCCTTAGGCGTCGAGCCTGGGCCGCCCTCGGCTGCAAAAAAAACAGCAAAAAAGGAGCGCCCCGCGCCGCGGGGGCCCCCAGCGGACCCCAGCTGCCCCCACTAATAGGGCAGCCAGGGCCGACGACCCCCCAGGGCTGTGCGGGCCGCACTGGATGCGCCGTGCGCCGCACCGCCCCTGGGGGCCAGGGGCCCCACGCAACAGCAAATGGGCCCCCGCTTCCCGCACCCCTCGCGCTCTCGGCGCAGGCGATGGGGTGCCTTCGCGCCGCGAATCGGGCGTGTGAGGCCCGCTTTCGCGCGCTGCACCCATCGCGCCTTCGGAACAGGCGATGGGTGGCGCGTCGCAGGCCCGAGGTAGCCCGCGCCAGCCCACCCCCCGAGGACCCCAGGTGGAGGAGGGACACCAAGTAGGACGAGCCCAAGGACCCCGAGTCAGGGGGGCCTGGCTACGGGGGGCATCCCGAACCCGCCCTACCTAATGTCCCACCCCATCCTAGGGGAGGGACCCCCAGGGGGCCTGGGCGCCCAAGCGCCCCCGCCGCCCTCCGCCAGTCCTGCGGTTGGTCGCCGGCTCTACTTGTACCCCGCCGATACAGGCGGCGTCGACCACTTTGGGTTCCCCGGTTATCCCCGTGTGCTCACCGGGCCCCCGGCTTATGCGGGGGGGGAGGGAAGAGGAGGAGGAGGAGGAGGAGGAGGAGGAGGAGGAGGAGGAGGAGGAGGAGGGAGAAGGAGTAGAATGAGGAGGGAGGAGGAGGAGGAGGAGGAGGAGGAGGAGGAGGAGGAGGGATGAGGAGGAGGAGGAAAGAGGAGTGAGGGCTCGAGCGCGTGGTGTCCGCAACCACCAACGCGCCGGGCTCCAGCAACTGCAAGCGCTCCAACCTAGCCAGGTCCTCGTGGAACCGGGAACCCCGCTGGTCGAAGAACGCCATCCCAACCCGCGACCCGACGCCTGGCCAGGCCGACTAGGGGGAGGGAGACGAAAGGGAGCGAGGGAGGGAGGAGCCATGGGAGGGAAGAGGAAGGGAGGAGGGAGGGATGGAGGGAGGGAGGGAGGAGGGAGTGAGGAGCGAGGGAGGAGGGAAAATACGACGGCGCCTGAAAGGACGACAGGCTACATCACCACAAAGCAATGGACTAGGCGGCTAGGCTCAAGAGGCTCATCTGGCATCTGTGGCCTCGCGGAGGAGGGAGGAGAGGAGGGAGGGAGGAGGAGGGTGGAAAGGAGGGAGGAAGGGAGGGAGGAGGGAGGAGAGGAGAAGGGGGAGGAGGAGTAGGAGGAGTAGGAGGAGGAGGAGGAGGAGGACCAGTGTAAACCCATGACTGATCAACGATATTTCAATAAACCCTCCCTACAAGTTCTCTCTTCACAGGCCCTTGTAAATGTTCATTTCCACTGAGGAAATTAGCCCCGTTGGAAGACAACCATTTGAAAGTCCCGAACTGTTCCAGAACACCCATCCTGGCACTCCAACGCCGCGAATCACCGATACTATTGCGTCTTGACGATCCGGACTCGTGCCAGAACACCGTTCCTGGGACTTCAGCACCGCGAGCCAACGTAACTGTTGCGCCGTGGCAGTCCGACATCGTGCCAAGGCGCTGTTGCCTGGACGTCGACCACGAGAGTCCGCAGAACTGCTGCAACATCTCTCGACACGGAAGGTGCGCGGCGCGAGGGCCACATTTAGACACGTGGCCGCCCTCCATCCCTGGAGCACTGGCAACCGCTTAGAGGCGACGGTGCGCGGCGCCGGAGCGAGAATCACATCTTGGAAGCGGCCCGCCCTCCATCCCCGAAGCTCCTGCAAGCCGTTTTAGAACGAATGGGTACGGCGCTCAGACGAGAGCCACATGCAGCAGAACAGAAACGCCCTCCATTCGTGAAGCTCTAACAAGTGGTCAAAACATGTTAGAAAGAATATGCGCGGCGCTAAGGCGAAAACCACATCTTGAAAACCACCAAAACCATCCTAGAAGCTCTGGCACCTGTTGGAGAACAAAAACGAGAGAGAAAAAAACAACGGATGTGCGCGGCGTCAAGGCGAGAACCACATGTTGGAAGCGGCCCGCCCTCCACCCGTGAAGCTCTTGTAACGACCGGCCCGCCGTTTCGACCAGCCCTGGGACGCGACAGGGAGGAGTTATTCAGGAGGAAAAAGAATGGAGGAGGAGGAGGAGGAGAGGAAAGGACAGGACAGGACAGAAGAGGAAAGGAGAGGACAGGCTAGGAGAGGAGAGGAGGAGGAGGAGGAGGAGGAGGAGGAGGAGGAGGAGGAGGAGGAGGAGGAGGAGGAGGAGGAGGAGGAGGAGGAGGAGGAGGAGGAGGAGGAGGAGGAGGAGGAGGAGGGAGGAGGAGGAGGAGGAGGAGGAGGAGGAGGAGGAGAGGAGAGGAGAGGAGAGGAGAGGAGAGGAGAGGAGGAGAGGAGAGGAGAGAGAGGAGAGGAGAGGAGAGGAGAGGAGAGAGGAGGAGAGGAGAGGAGAGAGGAGGAGAGAGGAGAGAGGAGAGAGGAGGAGGAGAGGAGGAGGAGGAGGAGGGAGGGAGGGAAGAGGGAGGGAGGAACGCCACTTCCACCCGCTGCCCGAGGTGGGGCTCGGTCTAGACATCGAAAGTAGGGGCCGGCGCCGCAGTCGCGGGGCGCTTCGGCCTCCCCAGCTGAAATTGGAACCTCCACGTCGATCATTTGGCGAGGCTTTGCTGGTCGATCGTTTGGCAGCTTCTTAACGTACGGCACTCCTGATATTCATTATGGTGTTCCTCGCGCTGCTCGTCACCGTCGTCTGTGCGCTGCGGTGTGATATGCTTGACGTTCTGCTGGCCCTATGTTTGCTATGTCATGTCGGCACGCCCTCTATTAGTTTGGCCACCAAGGTGCCGAAACACGACCGTTATTGCAGTGGCGCGTCCTGAAGAGGACGCAAAAACGATGCGTTGTGGTTCGTGGGCCTCCATGTTTGTAATTTTCGACCCTCTCGGAAAGGTGGGGAAGGGGGGGCGAGGGAGGAGGCGGAGGCGACCCTCTTCCTCCGGGAAGAGAGAGGGAGAGGTGGCCGAGAAGGGCCAGGAGAGAGAGAGAGAGAGAGAGAGGAATCGGGGATGGACAGAACCACTTTAGTAAAACGTTGTTTAGTGAAAACGACATCGGGGCCAAACCTGGTGGACGCAAGCTTGGAAAATGACGGCCGCGGCGCCCTCTCGAGAACCGAAAACGGACAATTCACTAATCGACGTGTCAGGGTGGGGGTTCTGTCCACCCGCGAGGAGAGCGGGAGGAGGGAGTGGTGAAGGAGAGCGGGAGGAGGGAGGGGGGGATGGCCCTTGCTCCTGCCAGGGGAGCCGTGGTAAGCGCGGTGGCGGATATGCGCGGCAATGCCGAGAGAGAGAGAGAGAGACGCCATGCACATCATAGGTGCATTGACGAAAGTAAAACGGCACTGCTGTGAAGCATGACATGGAACATCATAAGATAGTATACTGACACACTACCGCGTTAAAGCGCAGAGCTGAAGCTCTTGGCGACCGACCGCCAGGCATCCAGCCCTTCCTGCCACAGAACGCTCAAGGCCTGTGGTCCGCCAGACGCCTGGCATGCCATATCGCACACACACACATCTTTTCCACGAATTTCTCGGTCTGCCGCGCCTCCGTGCGGCGAAGGGGCGCGCCCATGCGGTCGTGCCTGGCATAAAGACAGATCTCCGGATGGCGCTGCCGTCCGGCATGGTCGCGATCTCCCCCATCAGGAGGATCTGCCGGTACGTCAAAGTGGAACTCAGAGGTGTACTGCTGCAGGTGTTCAAGACAACTTTATGCGATATGCGACTGATGTACGGGTGCGGTGTACCCGCGAGCTTTCGCAGGCATTGGGCTTGAAAAGCGTCCCACTTCAAGCGCTTTGCCTTGTTGAGCCACACGGTGTGCATACAGGACATCAATTTCGCCACGACACACGCGCCGAAGATCTTCACCTTCCGGTCTAAACTTATGCTTGTATGCTTCCAGATCCTGCAGAGCACGTTGCAGTCTTTCCACGCCATGCTGAGCCGACGGTTGAGCTCGGTGCCGCTGTCGCCGCTGGAGCTGATCATGCCGCCCAGGTAGATCATGTTGTCCTGCTGCTGGACGGGGTGGCCATCCGGGCGCAGGATGTGCGTCTGGCAACCGACTGTGAGGACCTCCAACTTACCCCAATTGAAGGCCAGACCGTAATTACATCCCGCCACGGGCACTCTCTCCATCATCTCGCGCACGTACTCGTCCGAAACCCCGACAATCAAAAAGTCATCTGCGTAGATCAGCTCACTGAGATGTAACCGGTCGTCCTGGTGTAGGCCTTTGCGGAGTATGTCGAGGCTTGCGTTCTGCATCAGAAGCGTCATTACAACGGAGAACAAGAAGGGGAGATTCCGAAAGGCTGCTCGTGCGGCTCGGAGGTGGCCCCGGCATCCTTCACGCGAAAGCTCCTGTTGCTGTAGATCGACTTCACTGCGGCAACGCAGCTGGATGTAAAAGAACACTCGGGATTCAGAAAACAGAGGAGGGGGATGATGATGATGCTGATGATGATAATGATGATGAAGAAGAGGAGAAAAACAATGGGGAGGAAGGAGGGAGGGAGGGAGGCAGGCGGAGGAGTAGAAGGAAGAAGAAGAGGATATAGAAAGAGAGGGAGATGGAAAGAGAGAGAGAGAGGATAAATAATAGAGGGAAAGAGCAGGGAACAGGAAACAGGGCGCGCTGAGTCATGGATCTCCCAGCCCCGCCTGGTAGGCTGTCCGATAATCTCTCCGCTAGCTGCTCGCTGTGCCCCACCCAGACGTCCACTGTGTCCGAGAGCCCTGCCCACGCCACCATGCTCCTGGCTGCACGATCGTTCAGCCACCCTGAGGGCCAGGGGCCCAGGGAACAACCCAACAGACCTGCCCCGAGACACAAGAACAAGAGAACGTGATAAGAAAGTGCCCGCTGTTGATTGTTGCTGGGTCTGGGCAAGATCTGTTTGGCGTTTCTGGGCCACTTTGCTCGGAGGGTCTCTGAAGAAGCATGGTCCTGGCTATGCATGCTAAATCCGCTGGACCCCTGGCAAGGGACGGCCAGGCGTTCAAAGTAATTGTGATGGGGATGCGCCATGCGGGTGACCAACGGGGCGCAAACACACCAATTTCCCAGGCATCCCTGGAGCGCGCTGTGGGCAATGAAATGTAGGGCCCCTTTTGGCGCACCCAGTCTGCACAATGGCATACAATGGCGCGTTGCCCCCCGTTGCCGCAAAGGCGTGGTGCGTGTGTGTGTGTGTGTGTGTGTGTGTGTGTGTGTGTGTGTGTGTGTGTGTGTGTGTGTGTGTGTGTGTGTGTGTGTGTGTGTGTGTGTGCGTGTTTGTGTGTGTGTGTGTGTGTGTTTGTGTGTGTGTGTGTTTGTGTGTATGCGTGTGTGTGTGTGTGTGTCTGTCTGTGCGACCGTACCCCCCTCTGGCTCAAGCCGTCTGGGTTCGAGCACCTCCTCCTCCTCCTCCTTCTCCTCCTCCTCCTAACTGCTTCTCCTCCTCCTCCTCCTCCTCTTCCACCTCGCCCTCATTCCTCCTCCTCCTCCTCCACCTCCTCTTCCTCCCGCTCCTGCATCTGTGCCTTCTCCTGCTCCTCCTGCTCCTGCTCCTGGTCCTGCTCCTCCTCCTCCTCCTCCTCCTCCTCTCTCCTCCCTCCTTTCCTGCTTCTTCTCCTCCTCCTTCCTGCTTTTCTCCTCCTCCTCCTCCTCCTCCTCCTCCTCCGCTTCCACCTCGCCCTCATTCCTCCTCCTCCTCCTCCTCCTCCTCCTCCTCCTCCTCCTCCTCCTGGGGAGGGCCAGAGCGCCAGCGCTGCGCATAGGGGTCCACCTCCATGCTGACCTGGGCGCGTGCTGAAATTGGGCGCCCGAGTTACCTGGGGCAACTCGGGGTTGGACTTCCGAAAAACGAACCCGAGCTAGCCTTGACCCGAGTTACCCCTGATGATTTGAGACTCTGGACGCCCGAATTATCCGGAGTAGCTCGGGCCCAGGGTAACTCGGGTTCGGAATCCCGAAAAACGAGCCCGAGTTAGCGCTGACCCGAGTTACCCCTGATGATTCGGGGCTCTGATGAAAACCGATACGATACGGCCGGACCCAGGACAGAAGAACGTCCTCCAAGAACGCCCAGGACCTACCTCTCCTGGGATGCCTTCTGGTCAGAACTTCGAGGCGAGTCCAGCGGTGGCGACGAGGGCCTCCCAGGAGGCCCCCAAGATGGGGAAAACGAGGCCATGGTACGGCTGGACCTAGGACAGAAGAACATCCTGCAAGAACCCGAGACCCTCCGCCGGCCCAAACTGAAGAACACTCGAGGGTGCTCCCCCAGGATGCATAAGAACATCCAACAAACACGAAGAGCATTAAGGTACCCTCCCCGAACCGACCTCGACCTTGTACCTCGGTCCGACCGTACTGAAACGTCGTTCAGGCAGGCGCAGAGCAGCTGGAAGGTGCATCATGCTCCTTGATTCCTATGTGAATCCTCATCGGTATCGTCATCGTCATCATCGTCGCAATCATAATCAGTAGCGTTGTCTTCAGTATTACCATCATTACATGATTGTTTTTTGTCTTGGGGACGGGTGCAATGTTCGGGTTGTGATAGGCATCGGATCGGATTCAAGATTCCTCGATCTAGCGATTTTGGCGAGTTCATGTATGTATATATACATAACATTCCCATCGTCTGGTCTCAATATAAGTCAATCGACCATATATATGTGTATAAGCAAACACATCAACCGACACACATGCCTGCCGATCCCGCATGCAATATGCCAATGTGAAAATCCATCTGTCTCAATACCAAGCTAACGATCTCACTGGCAACGTACCAGTCGATATCACCCTCTATCGGTCTCTCAATCCGTCGATGTGCCCTGCCATCAATAGACCAAACAGTGTCACTATTTACCAGACTCATGTGTACCTGTACCTCTCGGTATCTCTACCCATATATCGGTCGATCTTGCTGTCTACATATCCGTCCTCCCATCTATAGAGTGGTAACCACGGGACACCGGTTGAATAATCACAGAAACACCACCGCACAACCCTGGAACAACCGCCAAATAACCACAGAACAGCCAGATGGCAACCACGGGACAACCAAATACCTGTAGGACCACCCTTGGGGTGATAAGGAGATTCGGGGCGGATTGGTCAACTTTCGGTTTGCGATGGGCGTCGGATCGAGTTCGTGATCTGTTAATATCTAGATATATACATATCGATATTGACCTCCCCAACTAACGGTCCACACTATTTACTATTCGATACCACTACCACTGTCCAGACAAATAGATCCATCGTTCGATACCACTAGATCTCAACTATCGGCCATCTCATCTGTAGACAAATTAAACTGCCGATCTCTCTGCAGACGGGGCGACCACGAGGCAATCACGGGACAACCGCGGGACAACCCAGGGCAATCCATCGACAACCAAGGTACAACAACAGGACTACCACGGGACAGCTACGAAACAACCACGTGATAACGGCGGGACAACCACGGGGCAACCGCGGGGCAACCGCGGGACAACCGCGGTACAGCCACGGGAAAACCAAGAGACAACTACGGTGCATAGATCTAGCTACCTTCGAGCATGGCTATCAATCAATCTTTCGGTATCACTATCTTCCGGTCTCACTACCCATCGATGTCACCATGAATCTATCTTTCGGTATCACTATCTACGGACGGAGCGACCACCAGACAACCACGCGACAACAATGATATAACAACGCGACAACCACAAAATATCCACAGAACAACCACGAGACCTCCACAGGGTGATCGCGGACAACCACGAGACAATCACGAGGCAACCCTGGTACAACCGAGGGCAACCACGCGACAACCACGGCACAACAGCATGACGATCACGGGACAACCACGGGACAAGCACAAAACAACCACGGGGGCAACCGCAGGACAACCACGGGACACGCCCAGGACAACCACGGAACAACCACAGGACAACCACGGGACAACAACGTGAGGGAGAACCACGGCAGAACCACGGGACAACCGCGGGACAACCACCAGACAATCGCAAATCAACCGCGGGACCACAACGCGGCAACCGCGCGACAACCGCGGGACAATCGCGGGACAACCGTGGGCGTGCACAGGACGACCACGGGGAGAACCACAAAGACAGCAGCGGGAGACAACCCCAGGCACGCCCTGGACGGCGGGGACCGGACGCACTTCGGGCTCGACCTGAGCCTGGCTGGCGCACGAGCTCGCTCAACTTCGCCTCGCCTGCTGATCTTCCTCCTGCTCCTCCTCCTCCTCCTCCGCCTCCTCGTCGTCGTCGTCCTCCTCCTCCTCCTCCTCCCTCCTCCTGTCACGCACGGCACGAATCGAAACCGAAACCGATGTCCCCCTGGGGCGGCTCCGTTTCATGTGGGGCTCAACCTCCGATCTATCGGTCTCCATCCGTCGATATCCCTATCAATATATTGATCGATCTAGCTGTCGACCTAAATATCAAACAGTCTCACTACCCATTTAGCGATATCACCATTAATGTGTCCGTCACCATTAACCGCCTACATCTTTCTGCTGGAACATGCTGGAACCGCAGAACCCGCAATCATGCTGGCGTCGTTGGCCTGTTCTGGTTGCAGCAGGGCGGGCTAGGTACGTCATCTAGGCAATCATGGCGCTCTGGAGTGCCATCCATCGAACTACAATCAAAACCTATAATAAAATCGGCTTTGAGTTGGACAGGACACGCGAAAGGACGCAAGACCCTTCCAAGGGCCACATCGCCATTGGAGTGTAAGAAGGCGCGTGTCGCGAGGCGCAGGACACAAGGGTACCCTTGATTTGGCAGGGTCGACCTACTAATCCGGGCCGACTGTAAGCATATAAGATAAGGATACAAGACCCTTGAAGTACCATTTACCATTGAGAGCTCCTTGGACGTCAACATTGGCCCAGGGTGCGCCGAAGAAGCAGGGATGCAAGGGTGGTCCTGATGAAGCAGCGCATTCTTAGTGTGGGTTTTGACTGTGCGCCAAAGTCTCACGCACCGCCTCCGAGGGCGTTCTGCGACACCACCACCATCAGCGGGGCCACCTCAAGCGAGGAGGTCCACGATGCCTCCCCCAGCTGTAACAGGGGACGTCTCGAGCGAGAGGGGGGGACCCCTCCCTGGCTCTTCCCGCTGGTGGTCCCTGGTGATGGTGGTGTCGCTTTTCCCTGCTCCTGAAGTGTAGGCTACTCGTCCCACGTCACCTCCGACGTGCCGTAGCGCCGGGTGCTCGCGGGAGCAGCCCGGCACCCGGCGCCCTCCGACGGTTGGCGGCGCGCACAAGGGGGTAGAGGGAGGGGGGAAAGGCTTCGTAGAAGCAGGGGTGCTTCTAAGAAGCTTTCCCCCCTCCCCCTACCCCCCTCTGCGCGTGGCCGAGGGTGATTTCGACGTCGCCTCCAGCTCCCCGTCGCCCACCGCCTCGCCGTCGGTCGCGGCGGGGGCAGTGGGGGGGGGTGCGGCTGCGAGGACTGGTGACGGCGAGCAGCCGCGGCGGCGGCGGGCTTGCGTGGGGGCCGTTGGCGGCCTCGCTTGCGCCATTCGTTCTCGCCGTCGGGCGCGGCGGGCGTAAGGCTAGGTCGGGCATGTCCTCCGACAAGCGGATTTTTGAAGAAACATACCAAGTAATCAAAACATACTCAAAAATAATCTACAAGAGCACGGAAAGCCGTCCCTGGAGTATCTTTTTACAACTCTTGAATTTTCCCCCTGTGGAGGGGCATGCCCGACGCCCGACGTAAGCGTAGGGGGGGCGCGGCTGCGAGGAGCAGAAGCGACGAGGAGCCGTGGCGGCG